ACTATATATTATTTCCATAATCAGTAAATACTGCAGAGAGATTTCTAAAAGATTAGATGCCTCTGAAAGGTATTGCTGGCAGCTTTGAAGTGTTGCATAGCAAGAGTGATTCACTACCTTTAGGCAAACAGAAATTACAAACTGAGTGTAATTTTTCCCTTCTCTTTTAAAAAAAGTTAAATAGAAACTTCTTTGTTGCTACATTTTATATGAAGATTAGGTCCTTAACAGAGAAAGTAGCTATTATCATGCATAATATGGTATGCATCAAAGCAGAAGGAACATAAAATACTTCATCTGATATTTGCAGCATTTTAGCATTTGCTATGTATTACTGTAAAATGGAGAATTTTATAGGTAAAAAAGGATAAAAATCATCCACAAGAAGAGAAATAAGTTCTGTGTAGTACAGACTTATGTGTATGAGTTTTTTAAGATTATATACCTTTGTAATATTTGGGCACAAGTCTGTCTGTTCTGCCCTGTTGCACTGGGCATGTATGACTTGCTTAGCATAAAGACAAAACATTAAGTTATAAAAACTTGTCCTTTTAACACTAGGAGAACCCAGAAGTACTTAGAGACAGGCAGGCAATGTTTTAATTTTTCACCAACTGGCCTGCCCTGGAAGTATGGTAAAACCTGGGAACTGCTAATGCTCAAATTAGTCTTGAAGAAGACATGTATGGATGGATTTTTGAGCAAATCTGCTGCTGAGTAAAGTCCTAATCTAATGGCTCCAAACAGCTGAAATTTGTAGTAGTCCTGAGCAACTTGCTATAGCTGCATCCCTTTAACATGTCACAGATGATGTCACAACAAAATCAAACACCTTCCTGACTTACTTTCCAGCATAGCTCCTTGATGGCAATGCTGGCTCTAGAGTAAATCTACCTGACCACTCATAAATCACCTTGGTTTTAATTTAGCCTGCCAAATTAGTGAGTATATAACCTCTGTGAAATACCACACCAGAGCATCTTATCTACCAATCATATGAGTGTTCCCCCAATATGTAGCATAATACATAAGTAACACACAAACTACATAACTATTATATTTTGGCTTGAATCATCTGTGTTTTCTTCAGATAAGAGATAATATAATTTCTTTTCTTTCTAGGTTTTTTATTGCAAGACATGATCCTGAATGAATCTGGTATTGTTCTGAATTTGTGTCTAGAGTAATTTCTAGGAGAAACAAATAAAAAATTAGGAAACAACTAACTGGGAAACAACTGTTTACTAGTAGGAGGTGTTTGCTAATGCGTTGTATCAGAGAACCAATTGGAATAACAATATTATTGAAGAAAAGGAAAATTCCTTAGGGAAGAGAAATTACTATATGGCAAGTAGAAACTGTTTAGGCTCACGTATTTAGTAGACATAACAATGAAAGTAGAAGTAAGAATACAGTTAGACTAGAAATTGGGAATACTTTGATATAAGAAAAAATTCAGCTGTTCTTATGTACCTAAAAGGACACCTGAATGAATGCAAAGAGCTAGTCAGTGGGATCTTGGCATGATCGTTTAAAGGAATATAGAAGAGAAAATAAGTATAAAAGAAACTTCATTGAAATCTGGATGGCAAACTGACCTGCTGGGGAGAAAAAAAAAAGTAACAAAAAGGGAGAACTATGGCTGCGTGTGCTGTTATTTAATGGATGAGAAAAAACTAGATATACAAGGTCAGAATTAAATAGGCTCAATGAAAATAAATGAAACAAAACCCCCTATTGAGAATCAGGCATTATTTTGTAAGAGAAAGAAACTGAGACTTATTCTGTAAAGGGGAGTGATGGTTAAATAATCATAAGTGCAGGAAAGGATGACAGAGCTGTCAAAGAGCTGTTTATTACCACTTGGTTAATGAATTCTCTTTACAGTGGTAACTAGACCATAACATAATGAAAAATAAATTATGTGGATGTGCTGCATGACTACAGGTTGCAAGAGCTGGTGAAGCTCAGTTTTGTTTGTTGAAAAAGTCCTGGGCAGTCTTGAAACTGATTGAGATTACTGCTTCAAAAGATAAGATAGGTATGGAACACAACTTGAAAAGTAGCAAGAAAGAACTTGAAAAATTTTAAGTTTTTCAGCTTAATGTTGGCACTGGTTAAAGTCCTAGAACAACCTCTTTTGTGAGTATCTGTGGGACCAAATATCAATTAAATTTCCAAAGTAGATTTCTCAATATCAAATAGTGGAACCCAATGTAATTGTTCTTTTGGTAGAAAAGACTAGAAAACAAGGGAGAAACAGGTTGTATGAAATACTAGCTTTGGTATGTCATCATCCTGCTTGACATTATTATTTGCAAGTTAAGGAAGGATGGTCCAGATGAAATGATCGTCCAGTGGGGAAACACTGTACCCTTCTCAACTGTAGCTCTTAGTCTGGGAAGTCATTTCAGAATTGCATAAGCCTGTCTAGAGCATGCTTCTGTTCAAGATTTTAGTTAATGGCCTGGAGGGAGGAAAACACAACATATTGAGAAAGAAAGTCTGCCGATATTTCTGGAATACTGAGGGTTTTAAATGTTTTTGAGGGGAGAGAGGAGGACTGGAATTCAGAATGTTCTTATTATAAATAGTTTAAACTGCAAAGAACATTCTTGTGATTCCTTTAATGAATCCCATTAAAAAAAAAAAAAAGCAAATAATATCAGCTTATCTGTATAGATTATATTGTTAAAGGTTAGTTTTTCTTTAGATTAAAGGCATGAGTATATAGACACAAGGGAAAAATGTCTTAATTAGCAGTCAATCATCTTCACAGAATTGAGTAACCCTGGTATTTGTTGCACTAAACCCCACAACAAGAGGAATAAGTCCAGATATTTTTTGAGGGATATCTGAGTAAGATTATCATTATTATTTAAACAACTGACATTATTAAAAGCTGTTTTAACTTAATCCAGAAAAACAAACCGGGCTGGATAGACGAAATAAGCTGTAGTGCCCATTTGCCATTTAGGAGCAAGCAATCAAGTATAATCACACATCATATGAGCACAGAATTACAGAATCACAGAATATACTGAGCTGGAAGGGATCCATCAGGATCATTGAGAGCACGTCCTGGCCCTGCATATATGTGATATGTGGGGGAAAATCACAAAACTGATCACAAAACTGAGGGGAGATACTATTGGAACATGATGGGAGGAGAACAGAAGGGATAGAGTCTGTTATTATAGGATGGCAGTGAAAAAGGAAATTTAAAAGAACAGTTAATGCCCTATTCTGCACAACAGGCCATATTGTTACTGCTAGGGAGAGGATACATAAACAAATCATCAGGCTGTGTAAATTGACAACACCAATTTATACAAATGGAGAATAATTTTATCACAGCAAAACAAGATATTCCTGATATCTCTTTTTCCTTTGTGGATTTTCTGTGTGGAAAAGGACTCCTGGAATCAACTGTGAACTTTTTCCCAACTGTGTTTGGTATTGCAGACTCCTTTTGTGCTCTTCCAGTGCAGTTGCATTAGTTTTTTTCTTGGAAATGTGTCAGTGGAAACACGGGCATATCTGACCACCTACCATTTGGTGTAAAATGGAGGAATACAGTGTGCATTGGTGTTCCATGATATGTGACTCCAAAGCTTTTCATTAGAATAAACAAGGATAGGGGGATCCCTTTAACATTTCTATCTGTAATTTTTTTTGTGTGTATATTTTTTGAGCTGAATGGGCAAGATATTGAGGGAACCTTATGTACTTTCTCTATAGTGAGACATCAGATTAGTAGAATCCTTGGTCCACTTTTCCTGTGAGGACTGTAAAGGGAGTGGTTTGACCAGGAAAGCTGCATGGACAAAAAGCTTCCTTCATCATTGTGCTAGACTGCTTATGTGAAATTCGTGACAGCCTTTGAGCCAAAAACCAGATATAAGAAATTAAATAATACTGGCTTTATGGTACAAAGTCAGCCCATCAAAAGGTGTAGAAATATCTCAAACTGCCAATAATTTGTGCTGGTTCACTGCTTTGTGTCATGTGATGGTACTGATTTTGATCTATTATTGGGAGCTCTAAAGTCAGACTCAGTGTGTCATGAAACTGTGGACTAATGCCTCAGTTGCAGTTATTTTCACAATTACGTCCCAACTGGTATAAAAAACTCCTCTTTTCATTTGTCATGGTTTAACCCACACTTGAGTACCACGCAGCTGCTTGCTCACTCCCCTGCTGCCTGCCTCCCCTCCAATGGGATGAAAAATGGAAAAGAAAATAAATATTTGTGGATTGAGATAGGAACAATTTGATGATTGAAGAAAAGTACTGTTGTTACAATAATATCAATGATAATGATAACAATAATAATAGTAATGACTATTGTGAAAAAGAGGCAGAGACTGAGAGAGAGGAATAAAACCCAAAAGTGACACACAATACGAGATCTAACCCCCTGCTGACCACTTCCTAGCCCATTCCCCATCCTCCTAATCACCTTTCCTCAATTTACATCCTGGGGCCCTTTGACCAGTTTGATCAGGTCTCCTGGCCATGGTCCTTCCCAGTGTCTTGTGCACCTGCTTGTTGACAGAGAATGAGACAATGAAAAGTCCTTGATTTAGGGTAAGCACAAATTAATAACTACTAAAACATCAGTGTGTTATCAACTTTTATTCTCATGCTGAATGCAGCACTGTACCAATTAGGAGGAAGGAAAATTTCTCTACTCCAGTCAAAATCAGGACAGGATGCATGTTCTTATTTCTACTTTGCAGTTTGTCACCACTCACTTCTGACATTGTCAGAATGAATGAGCTGGGCTGCACCCTGGGCCATGGGAATTGAGTGTACTTCAAAATGTTATTCCTTGTTTACTCCTTTTTAGACCGGGAAGTTTCAGTCGTTCAGTGATTAAATCTACAGGTTCCACTAAGCTGTGCAAAACCAAATGAGGTGTGATGCCCTGTGGCATGAGGCAGGAATAAGTAGTCACAGATGTGTGTAACATATAATACATAATAAAACTAAGAAGCTCTTCTGGTCAAAACAAGGTTTATTGTGCAAGGTGCAAGATTTATTATTGCAAGGTGCAGACACATGTATGACAACGACTAAAATTACCATGGAAAGAAGAAGGATACTGATTGACTGCAGCCAGACCCTTGCCTTTGCCCTGAGTCTACCAGTTTTCAAATTGCCTGAAATGACCAGTACTCTGCAATTAGCCCCAAAACCTCTGCAAAGCAAATTAGTTACTGAACATTAGTTGTTTTTTTTTTTTTTTTAATATTCAAAGAAATCTGTATACAAAATATACATTTATCATATCCAGCTAGTGTGAATATAATTTATGAGTGATTATATATTCACAGACTGGAAGAGGCATTGTGATGTTGAAAAATACACTAAATACAGATTTTCCTTGAAAAGAAAGGTTGAATGTTTTTATTTTTAAAATGGGTGAGTACTTTAATGATCCAACAATAAACCAGGGGAAGCAGGTGAATGCTTATGAACAGATGTAGAAATACCTCCAAACCTGCTGGTGAATATGACACTTTATGGAGATGTATAGTGAAATAATGTACCACAAAATCTTAAAAGGCTTTTCAAAACTGGGAGAGATGATTATTCTAAAAGTTACTATAATCCTTCAGTTTGCCTGCTGTGGAATAATAGTCTATAGCTAAGCATTCTTTATCTGTCTATAAAAAAAAAATTAGAAGTGTAATTGCTGTAAATTAGAACTTGAAGCTCAAATGAGACTAATTAAAAATGGATGTTGAGCATGAGCTGTAAAAGAAAAAGGATGAAACATGGAAACAAACCATCAAAGTTTTGGGGTTTTTTAAAATGATCAAATGCCTACAAATCAAAATTATTTGGATAAGTGTTGGCGTAATTGGCAGAAACAGAACAGCCTGTGCCATGTAAACGTCCAGGCTAAATGATCAGAAATTCCTTCAGGATGTAATGTTCTCAGTTTCTGGGAAAAGTTTTTTTCTCACTACTGCTAAACCTGCACTTTCACTAGCTGAGGATTCTGCATAACCAGCCATTGCACATTTTCTCATTTTATGGATATTGCTAATTTCAGCAATATCCCATTGCAGCAGTCCTGTGCCAAGGCTGCAGCCTAGTTTGGTGCCAATGTGAAACAAAATGAACAGAAGAAAATCAGGGTGTAGAAGTGAAGTAGATTAACAATATTCAGAGCTATATGAATTTGTATCTGTTTAGCTAAAGGAGCAATCCCTCTTGTCCCGTAGTCGGGGCAGTTAATCACAGAAAATTCTTGAAGTGTGCAACTGTAAGTATTCAGGTTTTTATACAGTGGTGTGTATATGACACATTGGGCATCAAGTTACAAATTCACAGAATTCACAGGTTGGAAGAGACCTTCAAGATCATCGAGTCCAATCCCTTCCCTACCACCTCAGCTAAGTCATGGCACTGAGTGCCACGTCCTGGGATGGTGACTCCACCACCTCCTCAGACAGACCATTCCATTACTTTATCACTCTTTGCATAAGAAAACTTTTACCAATATCCAGCCTATCTTTCCCTTGGTGCAGACTGAGACCCTGTCTTCTGGTTCTGTCATTTCCTGCCTGGTGAAAGAGATCAACCCCCACCTGACTACAGCCACCTTTCAGGGAGTTGTAGAGAGGGATAAGGTCATCTCTGAGTCTCCTTTTCTCCAGGCTAAACAACCCCAGCTCCCTCAGCTGTCCCTCACAGGGTTTGTGTTCCAAGCCCCTCAACCAGCCTTGTCGCTCTCCTCTGGATGCGCTCAAGCATCTCAATGTCCTTCTCAAACTGAGGGGTCAAAACTGGAAACAGCACTCAAGGTGCTGCAATGTACCAATAGACCTGACTTACCACTGCTTCCCAATTGCTAAACAGTAGCTAAAATGGGCCCATGCACTAGAATCTACTTTTCTTCAGATGTACTTCTCCTGGGATGCCTTAATCTTTAGTCATTTGCACTTCCAGTATATTCCCGTCCTCCATGGTGTTACTAAAAGACATTCAGTATCAGCTACCACCTTCTGGGTGCTAAAAGTTTGTCAGCACAGCTGTGGGCCTTTTCACACATCTCATATTGGTGCCCAAGAGCATTCCAATTTAATTGACTGGAACAGTGTGAGCTACCTGCCTCAGTTTATACTGAATGTGGTTATGGAACTGGGTGCTGTCAGTGGCTGATGATTCCAAAACTGTTTAAATTATTAATAGAAACTAATAACTAGTAGTTAAGTAGTAATTAAATACAATAAAATGCCTACTTGTTCTGCTACTGCTTTCTTTCCATGGGAGAAACACTTTTAGCTGTACTCAGAAGTAGCCTAATTTCTTCCTCTGATGTCCATGAAATTCCCAGCCCATAAATAGAAATCAGTTACAAAAATGTGTGTTTTACTTCATATCAACTGCGACCCCACATCTCAGAATGATAAATGTGTAGCTAAAAATCAGTCAGACATATTTCTGTCCATTTTCTCACCATTTGTCAAAACCAGCCTGTCTTCTTGAGGGGAGATGGTCCTGGCGAGTACACAAACATGAGCTGGCTGTCCCTTGGTCATAGCACATAGCCAGATTCTACAGTGTTTGACCACTATGCCTTACAGGCATGAGAAACTTACTGAATATGAGCTGAAAGGATTTCTGGAGCAGAGATGGTCTTCTGTTTTTGTCTAACAAGCTCCAATATTTGCATATATAACATATGTAGTTATAACTGCTATAACTTACATGGAGTCATTTGATCGTTTTCTTTTAAAGGAAGGATTGTTCTTTAAATTATTACTTTCTTTGATGGTGGATTATATTCATTCCAGATAATAATTTTTATTGTACTTCTTTCAACTCTAGCGGTAAAATGCACATAGCATAAACCCTTGACCAGGGTATTAAAAGTTCAGGAACCAATAATTTAGTGACAAAGTTCTCCCCAGCTTAAATCTATTATGGTCACAGACTTACGTGCATAAGAGATTAATATCCTACCAGCTTTTATTTGTTCATTCTTTTTTTTTTTTTTTTGTATTTCCACTCTCTGTATATGAGGAGCATTTGGAAGTTTCCCAGCTAAACAATGAATTTTAGCAGCTCGAGTCAGCCAGGACACTTTTTTCATTAGAGTGATGATGAATTGATTCTTCTACATTGTGAAAACATTTCTTCCTGTTTCTACTGTCTTTGTGAAATTGACTTCCTGAAATTTGTAATCAATTGACTAGGTTCCTCTTTAAATATTTCCTAACTTGTATTTTCCCGGTCCCACACGCACTAATACCAAATATACTTTTTACATCATCAACAAAAAATCCCCCTTCCCAGCCCCAAATAAACAAGTTGTCCCTAGAGATTATGTAATCATAAACTGAGCTCATTTGATATTTAGATCTATTCAATGTATTTCACTGGTACTGCAGTGCTTGGATCAATCACTTCTATTAAGACAGAAGTGGTTAGTGTAAGTTTACACATCAATTTTTCAGGTGCATGTTTTCAGGTGCATGCGAGGGTATTGGCAGCATCTCTGGCAATTCTCTGTACCTCATTGCAGCCTGGGCAGCAGCTGAGATCTGATTTAATTTTAGGATCACTAACCTGAACTGAAATGATGACTAGGAGAGGGCGAACTCTATAGGAAGATTACAAAATTCTATCAGTCAAGCTCAAAGGCATTTCATCCTGGAACTTCTGAGGATTAAGTATTACATACTCCAAGGTTTCTTGCTCTAATTTTTCCTAATAACTGATTGCTAATCACAGGCGTCTGAAAGGGAAAACTAAAGATGCCTCTCTGGAGTACCACAGTGTTGTGCTTCATCCCAGCCACTGTTTGCACATACATATTTTAGGTATTCTCACCTACCTTTGTTTCAAGACTCATGCTCAAGTGACTCCCTATTCTGTCTATATAATCATTTAATGTGTTGATCTGATTTAGACATTTGACAGATTTATATGCTTCCCTAAGGCAGAAATACCATTGAATCAGGGAAGAGTACCGATCTGTAATATCAAGCAGACATGAGACTGTGTGATTTGGATCAGTAGCACTGAAAAATGTAAATTCCTGCCAGTTTCAACATTTTTATAAGTATTTTGCTGAATCAGGAGTTATCTCTAAGCGTTCAAACAATCCCTGGTCCCTGGAATCGCTATATGTTAAAGGTTGTGTTTTGCTACTCTAATTATGTGCTTTAAACTCTTCAAAAAAAGGCTTGCCAAAAGCAGAACATCTACCATTCCACTTCAACCTTCACATTATACCTTTTTGAAGAGAACTGGCATAGCTTTTGCTTCTTCTATGCTCTTTATCATAGCTATTAACTGAATTCTAAATGGAATTCTCAAAATTTGGATTGCCTTCCTGCAGCTGAGATGTATTTAAAAATTAATTAAACTGGCAGTTTCTGTTTGCCAGCTGAATTACATTTAAGTACATTTTCATTCAATTTCAAAAGATGGAGTTCCTTTCTGACAGCTTGTTACCTAATGCATTCCACCAAACCAGTGTCATTCCAGCAAAAAAATATATTTTATCTTTCTAAGGATATGCATTGATCTAACTTGCAGTGTTCCTGTTTGAAATCTTGCCTGTCTTTGACTTAGAGTCTGCTACTTGCAGTCTGTATTTGATGCAGAATTTTAACCTTGTGGGAGTGTGTGAGAACTTTGAACTTCAGTGGAACTAGGAATTTATTCACAAGTTTCATACTTTTATCTATTAGATTATTTTTAGTCCTTTTCTGGTTTCTTTCTCTGACTTACAGATATTTTGTGTCATATGTAGTGTCTACAGTAACATATACATTTTCACATGCAATTGTGATGTGACAATTTGACATGGTGACAATTTGCAGAAAAAAACAGCTCTGCATTGTTTTCCTGGGTAACAAGTAGGACATTTACTCTTAGCTATGGAAACCTTGATGGCAGAGCTGGCAGGCTTTGCTTCATTACTGTTGTACACTTTAAACTGCTGAATGCTCCCCAACATTTAAAGCATAATGCAGAAAAACATTTTCATAGATAGTGACTTGTAAGTTACACAATACTTTGCTTAGAAAAAGAAACAGCAATGACAGAACTTTAGGACAATGGTCTTTAGAGTGGTGTGTGTCCTGCAAGGTATGCACAAGAAAGTCTGTTGGAGTGTGAGAAGAGAATATTTTTTGTACCATTAACAAATAAAATAATAATTTAAACTCTCTTTATTTTATTTTTATCTTGTCTCTTATATTTTATATTTTATGTCCATTTTATGCAGCTATGGGCTGCAGGTTGACATTTTTGAAAAACACAAACCCTACTACACTTAGTATCAAGTGAAAAGGTAAAGAAGCGTGACTGCATACATGCACTCAGGGAAGTATTAGACATTTAGTCCAATTAAGCATCCTGTTGTGGGAAAAAGAAGATATAGCTTGTAGATATCAAAAACTTCTTGTCTCTTACCCATATCATGGCTTACCATCTAAAACCACAAGTGTAGAGACAAGTGCGCATCCTGGACCTTTGAAATCAGGCTATTACCATGACAAATCCAGAGACAGAGGTTAAGTTACCACAACTGATCTGCCAGGAAGAAAATACATGTCTAGTTTGGTTTATTCTAAATTTTTGGGAAAAATCCATCCTAGTGCAGAAATGTTGATTCCAATGACTGTGAGATGTGGACCTGTTGGAGCCAGTCCAGAGAAGTCCAGAATTGATCAGAGGGCTGGGACGCTTCTCCTGTGAAGACAGTCTGAGGCAGCTGGAGTTGTTCAGCCTGGAGAAGAGAAAGCTCTGGTGGGACCTTGTAGCACCCTCCAGTACTGAAAAGAGAGATGGGAAGAGACTTTTTTAAAAATGCAAGAAGTGATAGGATAAAGGGGAATGGCTTAAGCTAACGAAGGGTAGATTTCAGTTGGATATTAGGAAAAAATTCATTACCAAAAGTGTGGTGAGGCACTGGAACAGGTTGCTTGGAGAAATTGTGAATGCCCATCTCTCAGAAGTGCTGGAGGCAAAGCTGGATAAGACTCTGAGCATCCTTGTCTACAGAAGTTGATCCTGCTTGTGAATAACTCTCCCTGTGGACTAATAAATATTTATTTATTTATTTACAGAAATTAAAATACTTTCGGTTTGAGAAAATTAGAGAGAGAAATTCTGGCTTTATACTTCTTTTACTATTCTTATCTATTTAAGAAATGAGGAATAAGTTCGTGTCACCTAGCAATGATAAACACGAATATAAAATGTTGAAAAAGCCTGTCCTCACTTAAGACAATGCAATGACCTTCAGTGCAAAACCATCTTGTTTTCTAAATGATCAGAGCTTAACCTATTGCTTCTGTCTGAATTTTGAATATGTTTGGGGAAGCTGGTTTACCTATATATATCAGAGGGACATATCCATGCAAGCAGATCTATGTTCTATATTTTATGAGTATTACATATGTGGTTAAAATACTTTGCAAAACCAGCATACTCAGCTCTCTGGGTGAAATAAACAACAGCTGAGAACAGAAGAAAATAATTTGTTGTTTGATGAAGAGTCTTATTCCAAGAATCCATTTATTAATTGATTTTTGCTTACCTCAATCTTTATTTTAATGTAGTGCTGAAGAAAAACTGTATTGAGAAGCTTTCCATATACACTTGATAAACCTGTTGCCCTTACAGCTGTAGAACTTACACTAAAATCAGTGCTAGTTTCCCCTGAAGCACAAGTTGTTTTAAGTTACGACTAACTACATTCCTGTTGTGGTCATTCTGTGAGCATCATCCTATGAGAAATTGTAAGATCCACCTCAGGTATCAAGGAAAACAGTAGTCTAATATAGAATAATTAAACTAATAAAGATTTGCTTTCAGTGAATCTCAACAGAGGACAAATAAAAAATGGAAAAATAAGTTAGAAAAAGTAGCATGTACATATCATAACCAGAACTCCTTTTGAGGTGGCTTTCATTACAATGGTCCCCAAAACAGCAGGCAAACAGATTTTTACATAGGTCACAAGAATTATAGAGTGAGCATATTTTATTGGTTAAAATATCATCAGAATGACATGGTAAACATTACAGTAAAAACTGGTATATGCCCAAAGTCAGGAATGTGTATCCTGTGGGTGAATAGTGATGCCTTCAGGGGTACAGGCATCATGGAGAAATAAACCATGATTGTCTCATAGAACAGTATGCAGCTGGTCTTGGATATATATGCATTGGATTTTATTGGTCTTGGATATATGCATTTTTACACTACATCTGCTTTAAAGGAATGACACTTTTGCACTTAGTATCTTGCATCTGGTGCTATTCCCTTCATTTGCGTCTCATTAAGAAAGGTGGAACATGCTTAATTAGATGAAAAAGATACACTATTATTGTGGTAGAGAGTAATCAAGAAACAATTCAACAACTTTTTTCACTCTACCCTCTTTCTTCCATTCAACCAACTTAAATGTGGAACAATGGGTTAACACGTAGAGCAGCCAAGATCTTCATCCTACGCTTACTGACCAGCTTCAACAGCGGTGAGTGCTACATTGTTATCTGTGTCTATGTGACTGAGGATATTGAATTTTAGCTGTCACAGACTCCATTGAATCCTACTGTGTTCTCAAGTTTGTTATAATTTGTGGCCCTTACATTTTGATTTAACTATCCTGATTTACAGTAGCTAGGAAACCAAACTCAAACCTCTTAATAGTTAGATTTATTCCAAATAAATTTCACTGTTCTTAATCCAGGACCATTTTTCTGAACTTTTAAATTTAAATATTGATATGAATTCCCATCTTCCCTCTCAGTTGAAAATCTGGCCAGTGCTACTACTTATTGAAAAGGCTTGAAATAGATTTCTTTACCTAACCACCAAAAAGATGGGTGCAAGAGAAACCAAATACTGTACAGAAATAAAAGTTTGCTCCAAACTACCTTCACTGACTAAGGTAGCTCAAGGAGAGAGAAAAGCTCTTTATAGAAGTAGCTACTGATAAGGCTCTTTTGAATTTGTTAATGGAAACAGTAGGTGAATATTTCACATTTATCAAAGTGAAACCTCTCGGGAAAAAGAACTTTACAGTTTTTTTTCTAATGAGACAATGTTTGAAGAATCACAACAGAGAAATATGAGAGAGATAAAATCCAGATAGAAGTTATTTCTAGGCTTTTCTTAGTGTACAAATAGAAGGCTTTCTATTAAAAATGTAAAAACTAATTTATAATCCTTTACACAATATATAATTAAACTGTTCAAACTTTGCCAAATACTTAAAAAAGGGCCAAGATCAAAATATCCTTTCTTTTTAAACCTGAAGTTTCAATGACCTTAGTTACATTAAGATAAAAAAATGTATAGAAAAATATATGAAAAAATTATGTCTTGTTTTTGAATATACATTAATCATTAACTGTAGGGGACTGAAAAATCTCTCAGAATTTCTCCAGTAGGTCTATAGTGAATAATTGCCCAATGGGGGCTTATGCCTTCCTGTTGAACTCAAATTTGTGGTCACTCAACCATCATTTGTCTCAAGGACTGGAGCTTCTCCCCACTGCAGTAATTTCTATACAACCTACTTGACTTTTTACATTCCAGTGCTGGGGAGCAAATGATGTTTGGATCCTAGGAGTCTTAAAAGAAAGGACTCCTGGTGATAGAAAGGAAGGACAGGCATTTATCACTTTTTGAACCTTACTTGCTTACCTACCACGTAGTGAATGACCTGGTAGAATTATAGAAGCATAGAAACATCAAGGCTGGAAGAGACCTCTAAGATCTATCATGTCCAACTGTCTGCTCAGCACCACCACTGATACCTCTAAATCACTAAACCATATTGCCCAGCAGCAGATCCAGATGCCTCTTAACTCCAAAGATGGTGACTCCACCGTCTCCCTGGGAAACCTATTCCAATGCCTGACCACCCTAACAGTGAAAAAGTATTTTGTAATACCTAATCTGAATCTCCCCTGTCTCATCCTTTGGACCTCTCACTGCAGGCAGTGTAGGAGAGAGCAGACCCTACGTGGCTACACCTTCCTTTCAGGGAATTTTAGCAGTGAGGTCCCCCCTGAACCTCCTCTTCCTGAGACTAAACAAACCTAGCTCTCTTAGCCATTCAGCAAATGATGGAGACACTCTTTGAGTCTCCTTTAGTCAACCATGTATTTATAGAAACCATTTTTATTTTTAAGTATAGTAGCCAAATCAAGTTGCAGTTGGACTTTGTCCCTTCTAATCTTTTCCCTACATGACCTCGTGACATCCTTGTAGTTGTCCCAGGTCACCTGACCTTCCTTCTAGAGTCAAGAGATTCTCTTTTTTCCCCAGGTTCCCGCCTAAGCTCTCTGCTCAGTCAGGCTGCTCTTTTCCCCCGGTAACTTGTCTTCCTACACCTTGAGACAGACTGCTCCTGAATATGTCACAATTCCTTTTTAAAATACATTAGCCTTCCTGAACTCCTTTGCCTTCCAGGACTGAGTCCCATGGGACTCTGTCAGTCAATCTCCTAAACAGGTCAAAGTCTGCCCACTGGAAATCCAAGGAGGAAGGTGCCCCTCTTTCTTTCAACCGATATTGAAACCTCCAACATTTCTATTGCTCCTGATAACCACTGAGCAGCACATTACCCATCTTCCTCTGTTCACAAACAGCAGGTCCAGAGGAGCACCTCCTCTGGTAGGCTCATTTTCCAGTTGTATAAGGATGTTCTCTTCCACACACTCCAAGAACTTCCTGGATGCTTCCTCTCTGCTTTGTTGCATTTCCAGCAGACATCTGGCACGCTGATGTCCCCCATGTGTACAAGGGCTGGTGGCTGTCCTGGCAGCTGCTTGCAGAATGTCCCATGTGCCCGTTCTCCCCAGCTGGCTGGTCTGTAACAGAGTACCTGCAGACCTGTGCCCTACTGACCTTCCTCAGTCTTCACCCAGAGGCTCTCAGCTGTTGTCTTCATCATCACCAATATCAATACAACCAAAGGACTCCCTCCACTTCCCTTGCTTCGCTTGTCTCTTCTAAAGAGATTATAGTCACCTGCTGCAGGAATCCAGTCATGAGAGCCATCCCACTACATTTCCATTAGAGAAATCAGCACAGAGGAGGATGCAACCACACTTAAAACATAAACCTCTAAATGAACATACAAGATTTAAGACACAAAATGGAATATAGTGTAGAAGAGGACGGATAGAAAGTAAGCAGTAGATATGTGGCTCCAGTGGTAATTTTCATGGAGTTGTCTTTAGAAAAATCTAAGAATAACTTTGTACAGTTAATGAATAAACTATGTTTTTTCTTAGTCTCCATAATTAATGTTGAGTGGGGAAAAATGGAATGCCCCACAGGGGAAGAAATAAAGAAGAAATAAAGAGGCTTTCTCCACATTCCTTTTTTTTTTTTTTTAGGAGATGTACAGAAACAGGTAAAACCTGCATTTACTCTCCCCTCTGGAGAAATGGAAAGATATAAATTAATTGCTCCTCTCAGGGACATAATTTTACTCTTCTTTACAGTAATGCAATTGTGTATTGCACCAGACTGCAAGTTTAAAAAAGCTTGTCTAGCCTTTCATGACTAACATAAAATTTGTCTTATCAAGAAAAACTGTGATGAACCTTGAGGGATACATGATGTACTGGATGCATAAAACATATCGTGACTCTTTTGTATGAACAGTCATTAAGAGAAAATTATTGAAGAGAATGGAGAGGAAGGGTCTGGTTTATTACAATTTTCTTAACATCTTGTGTTCAGTTGTTTCTTTTCCTTGTTTTTATTTTTGTTCTTGTTTTTGTTTTTGTTAGTTTTAATAGTGGCAAAGCTACCGGTGCTACAGTGATGATTTCTTCATGTAAGTGATTGGAGACAGCCTATAATCAAATTAACAAGCTGCTAGCTTTACAACTGAGTTCATTGCAATATGTGCCTATGGGCAAGCTTTTACATCTCAAAAAGCTGGCTTGTAGATGAAGATTCCTAGAAGTTTTAGCAGGATATTGCACTACAATTGCACAGTTGTAATGCACCATTCAGAGGGTTTTGAGTGCCTCAAAATCTGATCTCATCTGCTCAGGTGAGATTAAAACCAAGGGACCCCTAATTAGGTGATCTCAGGCTAAAATAAACAATTAGTTTTAACTTATTTTGAACTTAACTGAGTGACGACAGAAACTGTGAAGAGGGAGTTCAGATGACTCAACTAGGAAGGGAATGCTGAATTATCTGTAGTACGTGTGACAGAGGTCCTGAGAGAACAGAAATTTTGCTTAGAGCTTAGGAATTTATAAAGAGTGATTAATGGGATAGGAGACCAGAGAGGGGGAGGGAAAAAAGCCAACCCAAAAACATTGGGGAAGACTTAATGTCATCAAAGAACAGTATCAGCACCCAGGATATAGCATGAAACCTCCCATACTCTTGAGCTAGTTTTAAGATCAGATCTCACTTCAGTATAGCTTCATGAGCTTTGCTCCATTGTAGCAGAAAGGATCTGCATGGCTTATCTTGATAGCAAACTCACTCACTAGGTTATATAATGTGCTACTCTCTCTGTGCTTTCAAGTGCCATGATTAGCCAAAATACCTATTTGCCCGATTTGTATGGTTTCCTTCGCTGATCTCCTTTAAGGCTATCTGGTGAATACACTGGAAATGAGGTTGGGGACAGCGGCCTGAGCTACTCATTGGTATTCTGGCCTTCCTCACTGTTTGCTTCCCTGGTCAACTAAGAGGGCCCACATTGTTGCTGTGATGAATACATAGAACTGATTGTTTCCTAGCAACACTGAGGACACATCTAAGATTGGTCTGGATTCACAGACTGAGCTATGTCAGGCAGGTTTATTCTGAACTGGTTTAATCCCATACAAACGCAACCAAGACAGGGTGGTAGTGCTGCCTTTCATCACTCTATACCCAAAGCGCCAGGATTTTTAAAACTGTTTGAAAATAGACAGCAATTTCCTGAGGGAAAAAAAGATTCTCTGCTGATGGAATTAGGTAGCTGGGCTGCTTTGGTAAGAGCAGACTGAAAAACACTCTTCTTAATACTTGATCATGGAAAGATTAAGGGGCGCATGCTCAAGGCATCAACTTTTGTGGGTCTGGTTTTTGTGGGTCACTGGAATCCATTTGTTACATAGGAACACTGGGTGATTAACTTAACCTGAAGCCCACTGCTTAGCAGGGTGTTTAAAAGTTAAGCAGAGACGATGAATGAATCCTTATAAACTGCCCGCAGGTAGAGGATGCTGCTGAGGGGGCATTTCTGCCTTGCGCTGTCCCTGGCTGTACACTCTGTACAGCTGTACACAGCTGCCACAAGGACTAGCATTTGTGCATGGCACGGAGGTTGCAACAGGAAAACTCATAGAAAAATAAGGCATTGGCAGCTGAATAATTCCTCAAGAAAACATTTTCTTCCAGCAAAAATCCCACAACTTTTCTCCTTGACAGGCCCCAGATTCTTTGGAATCTATGATGGTTTACTAGTATGGTGCCAACTAATGCCCTAGATAAAGGAGATTAATAGATCAGCAAAGACAATATCCTCATGGCCTTTGTCAACGTCACAGTCTGTGTGGGCCTCTCTAACTCCATGTGATTCATCTCTGTGTAGATAAAGCAAATTGTTTTTCATTTGAAAGGATAAAGTTAGTTTGGAAAGACTAGACATTTATTGTCTGCACAGCAGCCCTGCTTTATTCCAAAAGTTGTATTTTTAAAAAAATAGTAGTATATCAATTTCAATGTGAGAAAATTGAAATGAAATTATAATAACATGTATTTTTTGAAATTCTCATGAACTGCAGGCACTACTGTTGAGCTCCAGCCAGTGTGATAAAATTGGAGAGTTTATATCCTTTATAAATTTTGAAATTCTAGCTTCTGTCTTTGCTGATAAGGAGATGATGCTACGTAATTTACTTTTAATCTAATGTAGCATTGAAGTTCTGACATGATAAGAGCAGAAGAAGTCATCAGTTGTTACACTTCTAACTCAATTGTAAGATTCATATACCTTAACTTAGTTAAAATACTGATAAATGCATTTAGATTGTCTTGATAGTTAAAGATGAGGCCTGTAGAGGTATAGTTAGAGATGTTTTTTCATAATTTATTGTTCTTATAGAATAATTTTTTTGTTTCCTCTGAAAAGATAAACTATACATATATAAAAATGGCAGAAATTATCTTTACATTAAAATTCTTTAGAGCATAAATATTTCACTAAAGTTCACTTGAAAATCCTTTAATGTTAATTGTATTGAATTCCTTCTCATTTAGAAGCTAGTCTTTTTTGGAGGGAGGGCATGGGGTAAGGATAACAAACAACAAAAAAAAATTTCAGCATGTCTGCTAAAATGTATCTATAAATAAAGTCACAAATGAGAGAAAAACTAGAAATTATTACAAAGCTTGGAATATATTGGCACTACTTGTTTAAACAATTATGCAAATGTTGTATAAAACCCGTGAAAATTGCCTAGGATCTAGAACACTCCTGTAAGTGGGTATGTATTTTCTGCAAATAGTTTAAGCTAGTAATGTATTTTGCTGTAAGATGAATGTGAATATTAAGTAAATGCAATAAATAATCTTAATTAGCTAAAAGGAAAAGCCAGATTTAACCAAGAAGTTCCTCAGTGTTAGTCAGCAATTTTAGAATTGAACATCGGATGTTATTAAGTTGATTTATTTTGCGAACATTGAGAATATGTGAATTGTGACAGTATTTTTAACTAGATCGCAAATATTAGAACAGAGTTTAAAAAAAAAAAACAACCATTCAGGCATCATTCTGGATTCTTGGGACTGCATTGCACCACACAGGTGATTCTTAACCAGCTTTTAATGCACCAGTTCTGTGCATTGCTGCCCCTTGTCTCTAACACGGGTGTGCTGATACAAACCTCAGCAGAGCTGGAGCATTGCTCTGTTCCCCACAGCATGATTAGAGATGACTAAGTGGATTCTCCCAGTGTTCCTCTGAAGTCAAATTCATTCTTAGCAGCTTTACTATCAAGAATGTGCACAAATGGTCAAAAGACATTCTCACAGATCTTCCTTCATCATAGGTGCACTGTGCTACAGAAGGGGCAACAAAGAAAATTTAGCCTAAATTCAAGCTTTTACAGAATGTCAAAATTCTGAGAAGTCTCGATAAACTTATGAAAATTTACATTAAACCAAACATGCTTGAAAGTCTCTTTACTTTACAGAGGGAGAATATGAAAGCAAATATCTTCTAAAATTGATCTTATACTTCTGGACTTGCATAAAAGTTGTCCAATGATTCAGACAGAAGGCATCTCTAGTAACTTTTTCACTTCAGTGATATTGCTTGAATATACATAACACTCATTTTAGATTAAATGTTTACCTTCTATTACTTCTGCGAGGGCTAGGTGAAATGGATTATCCCCTTTTGCTGAGTTATGCTGTAATTTTAGTTACTACTGTAAGCTCTTGGCAGAGAAAGGCAAAAGTACCAAATAAATATGTGCGTCTGTTATAAATAATTAGTGTCTGCCTAATAAAAATAATGGCCATAAGAGCTGTGGTAAGGCAGCTGAATGGAAAGAGAATACGACACAGGAACTTATCATCAGCCCCCTGTTTTCTATTATGACAGTGTCATGTGGGATATCTGAAGCAATGGAAAATATGGTCAATACCACAGGAGAAGAAAATAGACAGATATTTCAGCATTCTGAGATGGTAGTTATTCCTTCTTCTTACAGATTATTCCTCCAGGTTGACAGGCCCAGATTACTGATCTGGTTCTAAGTATGCAATAAAGAAGGAACAGAAATCTGAGTGACTTTGATGCAGAGCCACCTGAAGCTGAAATTGCAGCATGTGAACCCAGCTGTACCATCCTCGAGGCATCTCAGAGCTATGAAGCAGCGCTGCTGCTCAGACATGTCTGCCATGAGCTAGCAGATCTTTCCAGGCCTGACCTTGGGTGCCACTGTTCTGTGTTTGCAGAACTGGGAGTGTTAAGGAGCAGCTTGAGAGATATCTCAGTACTTTGCAGCACTTAACTCAGGGCTGAAGCTGAGTGATGCGCTCATGCTGTAGACTCGGTTAGACCCCAGATGATTCTTGCAGGACCACAGGAATGTCTCACTGCTGCACAGCTCCTAGTGGGCCAAAAGTTGCCAGCTCTTGGCTGGCTGGAAAGGGCTTTGTAGACAATTATCTGGACTACTTTCTCACTCTAAAAGAGGAAAAAATATTAAAATAGCACAAAGGTGATAAAGAAGTTGAAAATTTATGCTTCCTTGATGTGTTATTGTACAGGTTTTGTAGTGTATTTACTCTGATTAGACTAATTGTAGGATTCATTAATTTTTTATCCTGTTCAGAAGTATGAGCTTGAATATCCAGGATTTCACAAACTATCCAGAGATAGGACACAGGATAGTTATACTACGGGTAACAAAAGTGACTTAGTTTCCTAGCTGATTCATCTTGTCCACAACGTCAGGACTAAACAATTTACCAAATCTGGACTCATTTTGATCCAGAATAGTTTGGCTGAGAGCTATGTAGGTAAGACACGAGCTTTGGCCTTTAGATTTTCAGTCACCTTCTAATATATATATTTTTTTTACAGGAGAAAGCCTAAATTTTTTAAACTCCTGTGAAATATTTGGTGCTTTATGAAATGTGCGAGACATCCTGAAGTGGATCTTACAGTGAAATGCATGTCCTTGTGTGAAGAGGATGTGTTTCAATGATACTGCCACTTAAGACACAAAGTTCTTGTTTGCTTCTCTATATTTCAAAGTTACAGCTGTCTCTCAGAAGGACTTTTGAGCTCTGTGGAGTAGTAAGAATTCCTTTCGACTACACTTACAAGATGCCTAAATAGAAAATTCAAGAAGGCACTATAGGTTGCCTTCAGTCATATGTTTCCTTTCACCTGTTTGAGCTTCTCTCACAGAAAACTATACACACTCTATCAGTTTCAGTGACCTGAAATAATTAATTCCCTTGTCTCCCTAGTTCCTTAACCCTTTCATTTAGAAAGCATTACTGGAATATAATTTCTGGAATATCACAAATACTGTATTTTATCATGGTGAAAAGTTAAAAAAACAAACCCAAGATTCATATCCTTTTCAAACCAAAGTGTAATAAGCTACCACAGGAACAAAAACTTGTGATCAACTTGTGGCATTTCAGTTTTACTTTGACAAATAGATAAAACAGTCATAATCTGAGACCATCAAAAATATCTAGCCTCTCCTTTTCTACTCTTGAAAAGTGTAGAATGAAATTGCTCAAAAAAGACTGTTTTGACACCATTGTTAATGCTTTTTCTTTTTGTACTTACTGAGGACCACCTTGTTTGCTGCAGCTGTATCTTAACTGACTAATATTAATGTTTTAATTTGACTTTTTAAGGCTGTGCATGTTAAGTTTTCATTTACTCTCAGGTCAGGTTGGACTGTATGAAGATATGATTTTCCTTAAGAATTTCCCTAGGTACTTTACCTAGGTTATCTAGAGATATTAGGACATAATTTAGTTACTTAAAAGTTTAAGTGGAATTTTGGTGTTTAAATGCTTAGTAGGATTAAAGACACTCTCACATCAAAAGAGTGAATTTTCCCTTCTTCTACATCTTCCACCTCCTACTCCCTCCCCTTCATCCACGGTTGCCTAAATTGCTTCTCAGTTTAATTCTGAAGAAATTACTTCCAAATCTTGAAAAAAATAAAAAATTAAAGCCTATTTAAAATATTTCATTTGAAAAAGGATCCTGTCAACCTTTTCTCATTGGGTTTCTCACCAAAATGTGTCTGGGATTGACTTCACTTGGCCGTGTCAGCGCAAAACATTTCTGGAAACAGTTTCCCCAAGAGCCTGCCTCCCCTGTGGCTTTGAAATGCTAATTTCAAGATAATCTAATTAGGCTAATGACTTGTCACCCAAGAAAGTTGGGTGAAATTTCCCTGCCTCCCATTTTATTTTATTTTATTTTATTTTATTTTATTTTATTTTATTTTATTTTATTATTTTATTCTTTAAAGAGGTAGTTGCTTAGAAGTCAACCATGCCATGCATTTGAGGGGACATTAAAAAGAAAATAGGTGTTGATAATGAAGCCATAATGCATACTTATATATCGATTACATTTTGTCTGTGTCTCAACAGCACTAAGTCTTCATTCATTAGGGCACAGATCTTGTCTCAGCGATCTGCTGAGAAAAAAGGCATGCAAGGGTGCAGCTCTGATCTACTAATCCAGCTAATCTCTATGCTTTGGTCATTGCAGAGGGGATCGAAAGCCTAGGGGCAGAGAAATCTGGCCTTGACCCCTCATAAAAAGGAACTGGCCGGAATCTGTCCAAATGTTTTGAAGCTCCAAATTCAGATTGAAGTGTTAACTGAGAGAAAATGAAGGAAATCTGAGGGTGTACAAAGCAGACTCTGTCAACCTCATTTCAAGTTTGATCAAGTCAGAATCAGAAAATCTTCCTTTTAGGCAATTACTTGTTTGGCTTTTTACATTTACTGAGCTTACATAGAAGAATTACAGAGCAGAATGAAAGAGCACTAAAAATACTGAGCTGCAAGACAGTAGAAAACCTGTTACAGAGTTATGTTGGAGAACTTTTGTTTGCCTTTCATGGACAGATAGAAGCTTATAAACATCACTACTATTTTTTTTTTTTTTTTTTTAAATAGCAGATTCTTCCCAGGTTTGTGACTGTTGGTTCTGTTTACTGGATAATAACTGAATTGCTTATGATATGCCAATCCAACACTCTTTTATTTAAGATTGTTCTCAGTAGTGTGTTTCTCATTTCACTATCAGACACAGCATTTCCCCTCCTATTGGACTGAACTACGAGCTACAACGTTTTTTCGTTTGGGATTTCTTTAGTAATTTTTACCATTTCTTTTTGTTGCTGTCGCTGCTGTTACTGCCGTGAGAAGACAGCGGTTTCTCTAGTGCGCTGTACCGTGATTCGCCCGTCGGAAGGGCCGGGCAGCAATGCTGCCGTTCGTTCTACGGGGAAGCGGGCGGCCGGGCCGGCAGCCGCGCACCGGCGCGGAGCCCCCGCCGGCGGGGCGTTGGGCCGAGGGCATGCACCATCACCAAGTGGGCTTCCATCGCTACAGCACTGATCAGCGGCTGAGCAGGAGCCCTGTCGGGCTATACAGGGGTCCCTCCCGAGACACACCAGAGCCGCCCCGCTCCCACTTCCCTGCGCCCTCCCGGCCGGTGCCGCTCCCCGGGCACCCCCAGCAGCTCACTGCGGCGGCCGGGCAGGGCCGAGCCCCACGGCCAGGCCGGTCCCGTCCCGGCGGTGCCCGCCGAGCCCCGCGGGAGCCGCGCCCTCGGGCGGCCGGCGCCTGCCTGCAGGTGGCGATCGGCACCTCCAGCGCCGCCCGCCCGCCGCCGCCAGCCCGGACAAGCCCGGCTGTGCGCTGCTCCCGCCGCAGCGGCAGCGCCTGCTCGCAGAACGCCCTCTTCCCATCCCTCCTCTGCCCTCCGCCCCGGCGCTGGTCCGGGAACAGCCCAGAGCCGCCGCTGCCGGCCGCGGAGCTGGGAAGCGATTTGTAAAGGGAGGGGGATAGGAGGGGGAGTCGTGGAGAATTTATCTGCGGTGTCGCTCCAAACGGGAGGGGGCGAAGGGAAATGACATCTGCGCCCACCCGACGATGGCGACCCAGCGAGACCACCGCGGAAGGGGAGGGGGGGGACGGGGGCGGGGAGGGGCGAGAGTAAAGGGGGAGGGAGGGAGGGGAGGGTGGAAAGCAAGGGGAACGCGGAGAGGCAGAGCAAGGGGGAACGGCGCAGGTGAGCGGCAGAGCGAGGGGCAGAATCCCGGCAAGCGGCGCAGGAGGGCCGCCCCCACCGCGCGGGGCTGCGCGCTGGGCAGAGGCGGCGGGGATGGGCGGGCGCGGGGCGGCTCCGCCAGCCGCCGTCCTCCGAGCTTCGGCCGCCTCCCGCCGCGCTATATAGGGGAGGGAGGGAGGGAGGGGTGGTGGAGCGGGGGGTGCCCGGCGTGGCGAAACCGCACGGGGCGCCGATGCCTCCTGCCAGGGGAGCACACAAGTGACCGGCATCTCTTCCCATGTCTGTCTCCTGAAGCGACCCCCCCCACCCCCCGCCCGGCATGGATGTGGCCAACAATACTACCTCCCTAGCGCGCTCCCCCGAGGGGACAAGCGGCCCTGGGCTCGCCGAGATGACCCTGGGCTACCAGGTGCTCACCTCCCTGCTCCTGGGCACGCTTATCCTGTGCGCCGTGAGTGGCAACGCCTGCGTGATCGCAGCCATCGCCCTGGAGCGCTCCCTGCAAACCGTGGCCAACTATTTGATCGGTTCGCTGGCCGTCACCGACCTCATGGTGTCCGTGCTGGTGCTGCCCATGGCGGCCCTCTACCAGGTGCTGAACAAGTGGACGCTGGGGCAGGTCACCTGCGACATCTTCATCTCGCTGGACGTGCTTTGCTGCACCTCTTCTATCCTGCACCTGTGCGCCATCGCTTTGGACAGGTACTGGGCCATCACGGACCCCATTGACTATGTTAACAAGCGAACTCCCCGGCGGGCGGCCGTGCTCATCAGCCTGACCTGGCTTATCGGCTTCTTGATATCCATCCCGCCCATGCTGGGCTGGAGGACGCCGGAGGACCGCTCAGACCCCGACGCCTGCACCATCAGCAAGGACCACGGGTACACCATCTACTCCACCTTCGGCGCCTTCTACATTCCGCTTCTTCTCATGCTGGTGCTCTACGGTCGCATCTTTAAGGCGGCACGCTTTAGGATTCGCAAGACAGTAAAGAAAGCAGAGAAGAAAAAAATCGCCGACACCTGCCTCACTCTCTCTCCGGCCACCGTGAAGAAAGGCAACGGGGAGCCCAGCAAGGGCTGGCGGCGGACTGCAGAGCCCAAGGCCGGCAATTGTGTCAACGGCGCGGTGCGGCAGGGCCAGGATGGGACCGCCCTGGAGATCATTGAGGTACAGCACTGCAACAGTTCCTCCAAGACTCACCTGCCGCTGCCCAGCGAGGCGTGCGGCTCCCCACCTCTGCCCTCTTTCGAGAGGCGCAACGAGAAGAACACGGAAGCCAAACGGAGAATGGCTCTGTCCCGGGAGAGGAAGACTGTCAAGACCCTGGGCATCATTATGGGCACCTTTATCCTCTGCTGGCTGCCGTTCTTCATCGTGGCCCTGGTCCTGCCCTTTTGTGACAGTAAGTGCTACATGCCCGAGTGGCTGGGGGCAGTCATCAACTGGCTGGGCTACTCCAACTCCCTTCTCAACCCCATTATCTATGCCTATTTCAACAAAGACTTCCAAAGTGCTTTTAAGAAAATTATCAAGTGCAAATTTTGCCAGCAGTGAAGCCCACCGCTCCGGAACGGAGCAATGGGGTCCTGTTACTTCCTCCACCCCGCTGCCCTGAGCCGCAGCGTGCCCCCGCCCAGCCCCTGCACACCCTTCCGAAGGGCGGGGGACTCTGGCATCCCCGCTCCGCGCAGTACGCCCGAGTCACTCGCTTTACTCCCGCCGGACAAGCCTTGCGGGTCACGGCAGGGCTCCGCTGGGAACGACGGGGGACGCCCGGCCCGGGAGGGCTCCGCGGCCGCCCTCGTCTCTCCCAGCCTCCGCTGCCGAGCGCCGGCGCTCCCGCCTCCCTCCCACTCTCCATCGTTCTGGGTAGACTTAGGGTTTGCAGGTCGTTGCTTGTGGTGGCTGTAAACCAGAGCGTCTGCCCGAGTAGCATCGGTAAAACAAAACCACCCTATGCAGGAAACCGCCGTGTCGGGGATTATTCTTGGATTTACGAGGCGACGGCAGTGGACTGGTCGACTTCGGTCTGGGGGTGTGAGTATGGAGGCTGAAGGCGACTCCTTGAGCAGAGGAAGGAGCTTTGAGCACGTTGCTTCCCTGTTTGGGAAACCCTCAAGTAGATGTTCTTGGGGGAAAACCGCCCACGTTTGGTAATCTTGCAAAGTAACTCCTTGCCTGCGTTACGTGTTGCCTGACAGCCCTCCTGGTACGCTAGGACCTGCCAGTTCATCGGGGTTCCCTTTGTTACAACACAGGGAAATTATAGAACTTTAAACCCGAACCGCACGCCTCATTATATATGGAGATTTATGGGGATTATTTTTTAAAAATGCTTTGCACCGAGTGTTTCCCAGCAAGGAAAGGCTTGGCGCCATGCGTCCGTGCGTCTGTCCCTGAGTACACCGCGCACGTAACGCACAGGGAGTTTCAGCAGCCTGCGAAGTAGCGTTTCTTTATTTTTTTACCCTCTCTCTCTTTTTTTTTTTTTTTTTTTTTTTTCTTTCCTTCCTTAGACGCTTGAAAGTTTCTCCTGAGACATTGCAGTTGCTTTAAAGTCAGTCAGCTGCGGCACATTTTGCTCGGGAGGAAAAAAAAAATAAAAGAGAAAGAAAGATAAACAACAAAACGATCCAAACCTATCAACCAAAACATTGCCATGTGCTCCGTGGCAGTAGGGGAGGGGCCGAGAGCATCAGCAAGCGGCAGTCGCAGGTGGGGAAAACAGCATCTCGCCGCAGAGAAAGGATAGGCTCTTTCCTCCTCCGGGCGAGCCCCGGCGGCGGTAAGCACGACCTTCCAGTCTGACAAGGTCTGAGAGCCACGGCCAGAAGCAGGCTGAGGGTTCTGTCCTGAGACTTCTCCTTGCTGACCTGGCTGGTCCCCAGGGCGGATCTGCAAGCCTCTGCCGCTGGCGCAGCTGCTTGGCCCCGGGAAACCCGGTGTACTTCTCCTTCCCCGCCTGCCTGGGGTTGGGGCAGGACAGCGTTGCCCGCCGCAAAGCCCCTCCTGCCCCCCTCCCCTCCACTGCCCATGCCTTTCCCTCCGGCTGCGGCCGGGAGCTGGAATCGCTTTCGGCCCGGGGAGGAGGGGAAAGGCGCCGGGCCGAATACTGGCACCGGGCCGGCTGCCGTTTACCCCTGCGACGGGTTGCCTGAAATGAATGCTTGACCAAATATATATTTTTTTCCTGTTTATTTTTGTGTAGTCTCTATTGCTTGTAAGTAAAAGGGAATGTGAAATACGTGTGTCACGTGAATGTAAGTGTCCAGTAATTTCTGAACTTCCACCGCTTACATTAAACGAAAATAGTGCTTTTGACAACCTCCGATATGTAGCTGGTTTTCTGAAAATCTTATTTGGCCTCATTTTCCCAATTAAAGTGATCTTTGATCTCATCTCTTTGATCACTCCTAACCACACGTGTCCTAGATGTTCTCTAAGTGTCGGAGTGTCAGAGGAGTTACCCTAGGGCGATTAGAGAGACGAAACTTCTCCTGAGCACTCAGGTGCCCGGTGCCTTTGGGAGCACTCCGCTCCGGACACCTGGGCAGGGAGCGGGGTCGGGAGGGCCCGTAAGCGCCGGCGGTGTGGGGAGATTGCTGCTGTGCCCAGCACAGGAGGGGTTTGCTCCTCTTAGTGCCTCCTTCCTTGAATCCTGCCGACTTCACTTCGGCTTCTCCACGTTTTGCCTTTTTCCAAATATCTTCTTTTTTCTTTGCAAACCTTCCTGTAAACTCTGCGGCAACGGTCTCAGCTGGGGCAGCGCGGCCGCCCTCCGGTTCCGCACGATAGACCGCGCGGGGTCCCGCTGCCCCGCGGGGGCTGGCTCCCGACTTCGGGGTGGGATGGGACGGGACGGGGCCACCCGACATCGCCGAGAGCCCCAGGACCTGGAAGCAGGGTACACCCCGAGCCGCGTGAGACGGGGCAACCACAGGGGTGCCCCTTCGTGCTCGCTTTATCCACTGGACCCGTCCGCGCTGCAAGGCTGCGGATGGAGGGGGTACAAGGGCACCCGTGCCGCGGGCTGCGGGCCGTCTTGGCCCGGGCGCGTCGGCTCCTGCTCGGGAGTCCCGGAGCCTGTGAGCCTTCGGCTGACACCAGCAGGAGAAACGCGCCGTTCCCTGCCCGCCTCCGCCCCTGCTTCCCCGCGCGGTCTCCGTCCGGGACGGGGCCGGGCTCCGCCGGGGTGCGCCACACCGGGGCCCGCGGGACATCGCTGCTTCGGCGCCCGCCAGCACCAGCCTCTCACGTCGGCCTCTCCCCGGACCGTGGCGTGGCCACAGGAGCCGGACCCCGGAGACTCCACGGCCGGGGCGGCAGACACGGTGCCCTGGGCGGCTTTAGCGCATCCTCCTTCTTCCCGACCTCGCGGCGCTGCACCAGCCACGTCGGAAGAACCAGCCCAGAACTCCGTGGGAATGTTTCTCTGAACAGTTTTACGTTCTCCCTCTGTTGCCTCTCTCTCTCTCTCTCTTTTTTTTTTTTTTTCCCTGCTTCGCAATATATTTTATAATGTGGAGGAAACGACTTTCTTTAAAAAATAAAGCTTTTTGTTTCTGTATTACGATTTTCAAATTCTTAATTTAATTTCTACTACAATTTAAGAAAAACCCAACCAAATCAAATCCCTAAAAATCAACCAACCAACCTAGTGTTTTTTTAAAATCAATTTTCCATTAAATCAATATTTGCTGTTAGTTGCAGGATGTTATTTGGTCCACTAACAAGCGATGTCCTCACAGTTTAGACATATTTTCAGTTTTAAAGATCCTATGGAGTTCAAGCAATGAATAAAGAAAAGTCCAAAAAGCAAGCAAAAAGATCTCAAGTTTTCAACAGAGCACAGAAAACTGAGTTTTCACAACTTGAGAAAATTCTGAGTATCAAAGATAAGTACAGATATAAAGGCTTTAACCTTATCTTCCTTTAAAATACCTCTTTAGACTGTTGTAAAAGAAAAATAGTTTCATAACTCTAGATTTTCTCTGCTCTTTGGCTCCAGTTGAGGCTGAATTTGGGATTGAATCAGACATTTGACAAGAAGTGCTGGCAGAACAATTGAAGTATGCTTGCACAGGCCAACTGTATTTATCGTTGGGGCTAGAGGGATGAACACACAGGAATAAGAAAAAGACATGTAGGCTTGAGGTGGTTTCCTCCAAACTGCAAAACAGATTTTGAGACCATAAAATTTCATCAACTTAAATAGAAACTTTCAACATAAAATTCTTGATACACCTTGCTTTCCTCTCTCAGTCCCATCCTGACAGCAACATGCAGTATGTGTGGTAAAAACAACAAAATCCCTCAAGCCAATGTCTCTAAATATACTCAAAGTTAAAAAAACTGGTCTCTAGAATCTGCAGTTTCAAACATTTTTCAGGACAACATTGTGAATCTTGCACTAAAACACACAGAGAAGTGATTCATCCCCAGAGAGAAGAAACAAAATTATGATGCAAGTGAATTTCTGTTTCAATGCCCAGGTTTAACAGAGATTCTGCTTTAACAGTAGAAGTTGACTATGACTCCTTTATATGTGGCTGGAGAAAACTTAAAATGGCTATAATGTAGCATGCAAACAGTTCTGTTGGTGTTCTGTATAGTCTAGAAATAATCACATGTCTCAGAGTTTTGGAAGCTACAGTGTCTTCTGTATTTTTGGATCTCAGTCCAAGTCTCCCTGTTTGTGTATATGCTGCTGTGAGCCTCACTTCACTTTGCTACTCACAGCTGAGCTCATGTTCTCTCTGAGTAACCAGTGTGGTTTCAGGGGCAATTCCTCAGCATGAAATACCTTCTGTTGGACTGGAAGCAAAAAATTTTGGTGAATAAACCTTTCCACAGCAAGAATGTACTCTAAACTATATAACATAATGGGGTAGTTTCTTGACTTGGGCAGTGAGTGACAGACGAGCCACTTACCTCTCTTGACTAAAAAAATGCTCAAGCACACAGAGAATTCTACTTACATGTGGCCACGAGTTGCAGCCTTGCAAATGTCTGTGCCAAGTTAGTTTGGCAGACTGTCAGTATTGTCCAGAAGCATGAATACAAGGGATAAGAAACAAATGAATTATAAAATATTTTAAACGTTACTAAACCTGAAAAAAATTTTGGTAGGGCAACAAATAACCAGCCCAACTCAACCCAAACCCAGAACCCTCCTCCCCACCCGCAAACATCAGAGGCACATGGCCATCCACATAGTTTCTGAAATTTTCACAGAACTGTTTAATATAGTGAGTTCTTTCTTAAAAAACCCAAAACATTTCTTGCAAAAAAGCAAACTGGAAGAAAGTGAAAAAGGTGCAAGAGACATGTTGAAAATGCTACTCAGCACAAGCAGAGATCAGTATTTTCTCATATTGTAATAATGTATTTATTTATTGTTTGTACTAAAAGGCCCTGGAAACATCTTTTGCTATTAAACAGAGTCAATATAATCCTTTCAAATCTACTTTCACATTTCAGAACTATTTACACCCTCAGCTGAGCCATAGCTTAGCAGTGAGAAGAAGCAATGAGAATGATGTAAGATAAAGGTGTTGTCTGTGGCCTATTTTAATTTGTATCTTGTTCCTACCTCTTGGCATCCCCACTGTGCTTAGTTTAGTGGGCAGACACAGGTCTAATGGATTTGGTACAGATTGCACTGAAGTGAGTATAATACAGCATATGCTATACCATTTCAGGCATACCCTCACTACTGAATGCCATGTGTAATCAAATCTTTAAAGTGAAATCTGCTCAGTGAGGCAGAGTTGACATACTGTAGTCTTTCTTTCAAGTGGCTCAAAGTGAAAATGCCCGTCTTCAGTGTGATATCAAATGCGTGCCAAAAGGTACATACACACATACATACATCTATCTATATATCTATATCTATATCTATATCTATATCTATATCTATATCTATATCTATATCTATATCTATATCTATATCTATATCTGTATCTGTATCTATATCTATCTATATATATGTCTACACACACACACACACACACACACACATATATACAAAATATATACAGTGGTTGTCTGGTTCAACTGCTGTAGTCCAAGCATAAATTTTTGAACCAAAGTGAGTTGTGAAATACATGGAAAGCTATTAAAATTTACACGTAAATATTATGTCTTTGGAGCCAAGATCTCGGTAGATGACAATTTTTTGGTTGGCCTTTGGAAGAATGCTTCCAGATGAAGTGAAGTTGGTTTGGACTGGAAGACACCCAAACCAATCAAAACAGCACCTGGACCACAGTCAGAGGTGCTTCCTCAAGTTTGGCTGGTTGCCTTTAACCAGACCAATCTCAGGCAGAGATTGTGGCATAGTCACATCTTAAACAGACAAAATACTTGTCTGGGTTTTGGCTGTAGGTGATGAAGAGAGACGGGGAAGACTGATTCAGTGATCAGAATCTGATTTTATTGGGGATACAAACACTTAAATACTATTTTAAGGCAACTAGTAATGTGTACCATAATGATTAGGTTAAAATCACATATACAAACGTATGCGTATAAGAACATCTCTTGCTTGCAGAATTTAATGAGATTTTATTTTTTTGGTAAAACTGTCTGATTTAATCTTCTTGCCATCTAGATCTAATTTTTAAAGTTCCATTTGCTTTTGCCATGGCATCCTGTTATCAAAACTCTTATGTTAACCTGGTCCAAAGTCCATCATCTGTCTTGTGTCCCCCAACATCCCAATATTGCCTTCCAATTGATGGCATTCAGTTGTCATCATCTTCTGGCCTCTCTGCCTATCTACCCAGAAGTGATAAAAACATGGGCAAAGTGCAGGTAAAAGCTCTGAGCGAGAGCTGCTTGTGATAGTCTTTGGCACTTGCTCTAAAGGAGTTTTTTTTCAGTGTCCACAAGGCAAGAAAGAAGTGGTCAGATAGTGAAAGCATTCAGTACAGAGAATTAGCTCAGCTTGTTTTCTTGGAGGAGACTTGCTACTGAAACATATTTACAGAAACTTATGCTCCTGAAATGAAGAGAGATGCTGCCTCACATTGGGCTGATGATTATAAACCTCAGGCCAGGCCACTGAGACAAAGAGGACCTGATTGGGTCAAAGTGTCCATTGAAAATTACCCCCAGCACATTTTGCTCTTAGTCTTTCCTGTACGCAGTGCTAAGCTGAGCCACTGCCAGCTTTGTGCAAGCCAGTAGCTCCTTTCTGTCTGCCTTTGAGGGCTTATCCATTGTCTATCTCCCAGCCCCAAGAAACAACAACAACAACAATAAAATGTCAGGAAATTCATTATATCAAGTCTTTCCATTGAAGAACACTATTTATTTCAGAA